TTGAAAGTTATAAAAAATGAAATAGAATGCATAAAGATCAATATTCTAGGTATCAATGAACTGAAATAGAAGAAGAATGGCATTACATTCATTGTCAAAAAGAACATTTCATGTCTTACCTTGAAGTACAATGATGTCTGGGATAGGGTAATACTTACATGCATATAAAGGGATACCAATTAACACAATTATTATTCAAATTTACCCACCAACCATTAATGTCAGTGATGAAGAAACTCAAGAATTCTACCAATTTCTTTAGCCTGAATTGATCAAACATGCAAACAAGATGCACTGATAATTATTGGTGGTTGACATGTGAAAGTTGGAAACAAAAAGGGAGGATCAGGAGTTGGAAAATATGGCCTTGGCGCTATAAACAATATTAGAGAGTGCATGATAGAATGACTTATTCATTGCAAATGCCTATTTTCTTTTTATTGTAGCAATATATGTACAACAAAACTTTTGCCATTTCAATCATTTTTATATGTATAATTCAGCCATACCAACCACACTCCCCATGTTGCATAGCCATCATCACTATCCATTCCCAATACCTTTTTTTCAACAACATAAATGATGACTATGCACATGGACCTTAACAGATGGAATGTACAGGAATGAAATCAACTACATCTGAGGAAAGGAATGATGGAAAAGCACAATATCAACAACCAAAACAAAGCCAGGAGATGACTGTGAAACAGATCACCAATTGCTCATATGCAAGTTCAGGCTGAAGGTGAAGAAAATTACAAGGCCACAACTGCTAAAAAATGATCTTTAATATATCACACCTGAATTTAGAGACTATCTCAAGAATATATTTGATGAACTGAACACTAATGACTGAAAACCAGAGCAGTTGTGGGGTGACATCATGAACATTATACATTAAAAAAGCAAAAGGTCATTGAAAAGAATGAAAAGATCAAGATGGATGTCAGAAAAGACTCTGAAATTTGCTCTTGAATGAGAACATAAAGTAAATGGAAGAAATGATGAAGTAAAAAAGCTGAACAAAAAAAAAGAAAAAAATGTGAAGGGCAGTTCAACAGGACAAAATCAAGTGTTATAATAACATGTGCAAAGATATGGAGTTAGAAAACCAAAAAAAGAATGAACATGTCAACATTTCTCAAGCTAAAGTAACTGAAGAAAAAATTCAAGCCTATACTTGCAGTATTGAAGATTTATTTCTATGAGCAAAATATTGAATGATACAGAAAGATGTAAGGAACACATACAGTTGCTGTTCCAAAAAGAACTGGTTGATGTTCAAGAATTTCAAAAGGTAGTATATGACTAAGAACCAATGGTATTGAAGGAAGAAGTCTATGATGCACTAAGACATTAGTGGAAAGCAAGGCTCCAGGAATTGACAGAATACCAACTGAAATGTTTCAACAAATGAATGCAGAGCTGGAGGTTCTCATTCATCTATTCCAAGAAATTTGGAAGACAGCTACCTATACAAGATTTCCTAAGTTATTTATGTCATATACAGTTTACAGAAAGGAGCTCTGGTAGCGTAGTGGTTACAAATTGGGCTGGGAACCGTAAGGTCAGCAGTTCGAAACTACCAGCGGTTCCGCGGGAGAAAGATGAGGCGTTCTGCTCCTGTAAAGATTAACAGCCTCGGAAACCCTGTGCAGGGTCACTATGAGTCGGAACCAACTCCATGGCACATAACAACAACAATTGTTTACAGAAAAAAATCTGGACAATAAAGCATTTTCATTGAGCAGAGGTAGGGAACATATAGCTCACAGAGCCTTTTAAGGCCCTTGAAACCATTTGAATTGGCCCTGCCAAGGCAACTGCAGTTCCAGCTATCACAGTGCTGTTGTTAAGTGCTAGTCTGTTCCGACACATAGCGACCCCATGTAGAGTTTCCAAGGAGCGACTGGTGAGCCTGGACCACAGATCTTGCAGTTCAAACTGACTTTATAGTCCAGGGCATTAACCCACGGTGCTACACCAAGACTCCAGCCATCACATTAAGGGTGAATTAATTAAATGTTTGACCAAATACAAAAGGTTAATTTTTAAGTTGATAAATTTGTATGGCCCACAAATTACGTTATAAATTTTGGCAGAAAAAAAGTTTCCCCACCCCTGCCACACAGCATTGAAGTAAAAGTCCACAATTCCACTATTTCTATTTTGTAGCAATTTCCAGTGAACAAATGAGTAGCAGTATGCCTTTTCCTAATTCCGTCCTTGAGTTGAAACTGTACTAATGACTTTTGGGTAAACTATCTAGGATATATTTCTATGAAATACAAATAATCTAAGACAGTGTTTCTCAAAGTAACGTCCAAAGACCACCTGCTTCTGGATCATCTAAAATGCCAATTAAAAGGCAGATTCTTGTGCCCCATTTCAGATCTATTGACTCAAAAGCTCTGGAGGAAAAATAAACCATGAAGGTATCTGCATTTCTAATAAGCTTCTAATAATATTTTTGTCCAAATCCCATTTGAAAACCACGATGACACAGTGGGTTAAGTGTTGGGTTGCTAACCAAAAGGTCAGCTGTTGGAGCACACTAGCCATTCCAAGGGAAAAAGGTGAGTCAATTTGCTTCCATCAAGATTTACAACCTCAGAAGCCCTATGGAGCAATTCTACTCTGTTCTTTAGGGTCACTGAATCAGAATTGACCCTGAGGCAGTGACTTTTGGGGTATCCTAAGAGGAGAAAGTGGAGCGTGGTAACTCTGGACTGTGATAAGCACTGGACTGTGAATCACAAGGTCTGTGGTTCGAGCCCACCAGTTTCTCTCATGGAGAAAGATGAGGCTTTCTTTTCTCTCAGAGATTTAAAACCTCCAAAACTCTACATAGGGTTGCTATGAGTTGAAATGACTTGACAGCACATAACAACAACAAATCAACAAAGAGGAAAAATGAGTCCTTCTGTGTCACTGTAGGATATGCACTGGACTGCTAACCACAAGGTTGGCAGCTCCAACCCACCAGCTGATCCTTGGAAACCCTATACAGGGTCAGTATGACTCAAAACTGACTTGAAGGTACTTAACAAAAAGTAGGGGAGTGGGGAAGCCATTAATAGATCTATAGTCAGAAGAAATTCTGAAAAATACTGAAGTTTTACAAAGTACATAAATTTTCGTCCTCAGAATAAATTTCCACATGCCTGTCTCTTAATGGCATGGAATCAATAATACATAGCGATCAAGATCAAAACTGACTTGAGCAAAAGCAGGAATCCCTTCCCCATTTAGGATATATTCTAGTTAGAACAAATAACACTCAAGGACCCTCATTTTTTTTGGGGGGGGTGCATTTTATCATTAGCAATATATACTATATACAATGTTGCAGTGCATAATTTGCTGATGTTATCATTTTCTGATATTTACTCCCAGATATACAATGTCACAAAGATAAAAAGCAGTAAGAATGGAGGGCAGGTGGGAGAAGAGGTATTCGACTTAACAATGCAATCCTCAGAGTGGGAAACTACATGTACACTGTGAATGTTCAAGTAATTCCTATTCTAGGGTCAAAGGAAAGGAAGCACCCTGAAAATGCTCACTAAGATTTCAGGAAAAAACAAATTGGTCTTGTAGTAGTCACACCTATTAAAATTGGGTTTTGCTGCTTTCAGAAAATGGAAGGGCTTTCTGTTAGCCTTAAACAACTAGTACTCATGCCTCCCTGCTTCAACTCTCAGTATCTATCACAAACCTTGGGTGAGCTCTCAAATGCTAGACTTGGCTAGTAGGGATGAGGCTGATCCTGTAACCGCCGCAAAAATCGAGGCAAGAAGAAATTACTTTTTAATAAAAGTAAACCAAATAACCAATTAAAATGCAAACATATACCTCTTTAAAGAGATTTCACTGGGATACGGAGAGAATACAGCAGCTCCAAACTCCTATTCTAGTAGGTTTGAGCTTTCCAAACAATAACAATTAAAAGCTAACAATCAAAATATTTCTCTACCCACCAAGTCACCAGGACTGGTTTAGATATAATAAAATACCCATGAGGGTGTTAGTCCTAAAATGATATAAGATATCACTGGTACTGGTAGAAATCAGGAGTCCAAGGTTTAAAAAAGACTCCCAGCCGGCCCCTAGTAATGAGTGAACCAGTTCTGGAGCAGCAGAGCGGGCGGGGTTGCAATTTCTTCCGCATCACTGCGTTCGCTCTTCTTCGCCTGCGTGAGCGCCGCCCACCCACTCGCGGCGTGAACCCACTGGGCCTAGCTTATTTTTCCCCCTCCCCTCAGCCTGGTGCTGAATCATGAGCCCCTATAGCTCCAAAAGGTAAAATCTAAGAACAAAGCCACCCTTGGGCTAGCCTGAATGGGGTACCAGGCTGGGTGGGGCAGAAGGCTGGAAACCATAACTTTGTTTCCCTTCTTCACGAATTCCCCACCCTACCCCCAAATTAAAACGAGAACTGTAGCGCTCTGGGACTCCCAAGCGGGTGCCCTTCTTCCATGGGGTCTCCAACACTCTGTCCCCACGCAGCGTGCTCCGCCTCATTGTTCACGCACTGCTCGCCTGCTGGGAGCCCGCACCCTACGGAACTGGCGACCTCATAGCTCAAGGGGGAAGGGGAAAGCTTCCGCCTGCTCCAGATATCTGAACCCTCCACCTTCTCTCAGTGGGGTAACTGCAGCCCCCTTACCCACTATCGTCACCTTCCTTTAAGCCTATACCTAAAGGGGTAACCACCGAAATCTATGGAGGCGACCGGTGGGTGCTGTCCAAATGCTGGGAAGAGGAGAGCTGGGGGTGGGGGAGAAGATCTGGAGGCCCCGGCCTTCGCAAAGCTGCAGCCTTCGCTCCGACAGAGAGATTCCAGTTTCAGGGATACCGCTGGGCCACAGTTCCTACGGCCATACTGGGATCAGCTCTGGATGCCGGTGCCGACCTGCCTCGGCCCTCCTCCTCTCCAGAAGCAGAAAGTGGAGGGCCAGTCCCTGTGCAGGCTGTAGAAGTTGCCATTTGCTACTCACCCCAACTGTTTCTGTCCCTACGATTCTTGGCCATCGTGGTCGGGGGACTGGTGGTGAGGCGCAGTCACTGCGCTAGCTGTCTTCTCCCGCCCGGCCGCAGGCTGCTGGCGTTGGGAGGTTTGTGCCCGCGCGGCGCTGGGCGCCCTTCTCTCAGACTCTGAGGATGTTGCTGTGGCGCTGGTAGAAAGGAGTGGGGAGGAGAAAGGAGGAGGAAGCGGATGAACCAAGCTCAGCATCATAAACTCGAGTTCACACAAATACCAGCGTCACACCCTCTCCTACCTCAGCCCACCCCTAGAGCGTGAAGACAGTGACAGACGATGTACAGCAACATTTTCAATGGAAACACACACACATAAACAGAATCTCCCAGCACCACACACATTAAAAAAATATAACAATGATCTAGTCACAGAAACACACAAACCAACATGCTGTATTTTTTGGATGTTCAGATACTTAGTTCTTAAACAGCATTAGTACAAACATGCTGTAAACATTTATATAACTAAGACATTAAAATAGTCTGCATTTATCAACCTGGCATCAGCTTTGTTTTGTTGTTTTGTGTATATTGCTATTGTGTATATTGCTGTTTAGCACAAGGTCATGTTAATAAAGAGGGCATCACATACTTTTCTTTCTATATAATAAACAGGTCTGCTTTATTCTGGACTAGGATTGCAAAATTTAGATCAAGATGATCAAGATAAATGAAAGCTGGATAGTCATCATAACCTAAAACTCAGTGTTTGATGGGAAATTTTCCCACTAGATTTGCAGAGGTGAAGTCTTTAGTTGTAGCACAGAAGCAAATATTTGAAGTAAAATCATACTATATAGACTGGTGGACCTCAGCAACCACAAAGGCTATGAACAACTTTGAATGAAAAGTCAAAGGCAAGAAACACATAAAAGAACATATCCTCAGCCTCTCCCTTTCCTCTTGTTTCTTCCTCTATAACTACAAACTTAAGTTGTTTACAGTATCTTGGAAACATTGTCCCTTTCTGCTATTTGACCCCAAAAATACCATAAAGCCATTCCTCACCTCCTCATTCACATATTTCTTCTGCATTTGGTTGCTGCCTATACACTCTATTGCTAGCTTTTTAATGACCAGATCCATGACCTCTCTTATTCCTCATCCTACATAATGTCTCATTCTATATCCTCTCAATGTAATTTACTCACCTGGCTTTAGATAGGATCTCCATGCTGACAATCCCCAAATCTATACTTTTATTTATATGTTCTCTGGTATTGGCCTTTTAGAATCTGACAACCACCTGGTTTACTATGCTGTCAATGACAAATTGAAGAGGAATGGTGTTGCATTCATTGTTAAAAAGAGCATATCATGATCAGTCATGAAGTACAATGCTGTCTGTGATAGGATGATATCCATACGCCTACAGGGAAGACCAGTTAATACCACTATTATTCAAATTTATGCAGCAACCACTAAAGCCAGTGAGGATGAATAGACAAATTCTACCAACTTCTTCAATCTGAAATTGATCAAACATTCAATCAAGATGTATTGATCATTACTGGTGATCAGAATGCAAAGGTTGGGAGCAAAGAGGAAAGGTCAGTAGTTGGAAAATAATGGCCTTGGTGATAGAAATGATGCTGGAGATTGCATGATAAAATTCTGCAAAACCAATGATTTGTTCATTTCAAATACCTTCTTTAGACAGCATAAGAGATGACTATACACACAGACCTCACCAGATGGAATATACAGACATCAAACTGACTACATCTGTGGTACGAAGACAGTGGAAAAGCTCCATATCATCAGCCAAAACAAGGCCAGGGGCAGATTGTAGAACAGACCATCAATTGCTCATATGCAAATTCAGACTGAAGCTGAAGAAAATGAAAACAAGTCCACAAGAGCCAAAATATGACCTTGAATATATCCCACCTGGATTTAGAGATCATCTGAAGAACAGATCTGATACACTAAACCCTAAGACTGAAGACCAGAAGAGTTGTGGGATGACATAAAGAACATCAGACAGGAAGAAAGCAAAAAGTCATTAAGAAGACAAGAAAGAAGGAAAATATCAACATGGATGTCAGAAGAGACACTGAAACTTGCTCTCCAATGTAGAGATGCTAAAGCAAATGGAAGAAATGAGGAGATACAAGAGTTGAATAGAAAATTTCAAAGGTCAGCTCAAGAAGACAAAGTCAAATATTACAACGAAATGTGTAAAGATCTGGAGTCAGAAAACCAAAAGGGAAGAATCAAAAGTAAAGTTTTACTAAAAGTAATACAGAAACGGCTGCAAGCATACATTGACAGAGAACTTCCAGAGGTTCAAGCCAGATTCAGAAGAAGCCGTGGAATGAGAGATATCATTACTGATGCCCGATGGATCTTGGCTGAAAGCAGAGAATACCAGAAAGATGTTTATGTGTGCTTTACTGACTATGCAAAGGCTTTTGATTGTGTGGCCCATGACAAGCTATGGACAACATTGTGAAGTATGAGTATGCCAGAACACTTAATTGTGCTCATGAGGAATCTGTACATGGACTAAGAGGCAGTTGTTCAAACAGAACATGGGAACACTGAATGGTTTAAAATTAAGAAAGATGTGCCACAAGGTTATATTCTCTCACCATACTTATTCAAGCTGTATGCTGAGCAAATAATCCGAGAAGCTGGGTTATATGAAGAAAAATGTGGCATCAGGATTGGAGGAAGATTCATTAATAATAACCTGTGATATGCAGATGATATTTTGCTTGCTGAAAGTGAAGAAGACTTAAAATACTTACTGATGAAGATCAAAGACCACAGCCTTCGGTATGGATTGCATCTCAATGTCAAGAAAACAAAAATCCTCACCACTGGACCAATAAACAACATTCCTATCAATGGAGAAATGACTGAAGTTGTCAAGGACTTTATTCTTCTTGGATCAACTATCAACACTCATGAAATCAGCAGTTAAGACATCAAACAATGTATTGCATTAGGCAAATCTTCTGCACAAGACCTTTTTCAAGTGTTGAAGAGCAAAGATGTCAGCTTGAGGACTAAGGGGCACCTGACACAAGCCATGGTATTTTCAATAACCTCATATGCAGGCGAAAGCTAGACAGTGAATAAGGAAGACCACAGAAGAATTGGTGCTTTTGAGTTATGGTTTTGGAGGAGAATATTGAAACTACCATGGGCTGCCAAAAGAACCAACAGATCTGTGTTAGAAGAAGTGCAGCCAGAGTGCTCCTTGAAGGCCAGGATGGCCAAACTTCATCTCTCATACTTCAGACACATTGTCAGGAGGGACCAGTCACTGGAGAAGGATATCATGTTTGGTAAGGTGGAGGATCAGAGAAAAAGAGGAAGACCCCCCAGCAAGATGGACTGGTAAAGTGGCAGAATCAATGGGTTCAAGTGTGGCAACAATTGTGAGGTTGGCCCAGTATGCTGTTGTGCATAGGATTTTTATGAGTCTGTACAGACTCGATGGCACCTAACAACAACAAGAAAGTAAAGAGAATAATCATGCCAGAGGTGAAGTTATCTCCACTCTGTTTGTCTCCTGACACTTCAAAGTCAAAATGTCCAAAAACAAAGTTAAACTCTTCACCCACCACTACCAAATGTAACAAATTCCATATTTTAGCTAATGGCTCTAATGACCACAGAGCTGTGAACACTGGAGCAATGCCAAAATATACATAATCGTTTTAAAGTGGATGCGTTTAATGGTATTCCCCAATCACTAATGAAACAACATAGGAAGATAGCAATTATTATTTCACTCCTATAGCTATAAACCAAACAGAACCAAAAGAAGTGTGCTCTGCTATTTATTCTCTGTGTATTTATTATAATTCCTGGTCCAAATTCCAGCCTGAAAATCTATTTCAGGTTAATCCCATAAACAAAATGAAACCAACCACTACAACAGATTCCAAAAATTATAATTAAAAATTTTTCAGTACCTATTCCTAATTGGAAAATAAATTACTTTTTAATCCTTTGCGGTGGTTATGTGCTGTGGAGTCGTTTCCAACTCATAGCGACCCTGAACGGGTTTCCGAGGCTATAAATCTATACGGGAGCAGAAAGCCTCTTCTTTCTCCAGTGGAACAGCTGGTAGTTTTGAACTGCTGACCTTGCGCTTCACAGTTCAATTTGTACCCACTACGCTAATGGAGTCCTGGTGTGGTGCTGTGGGCTAATGCGCCAGACTGCAAAGTCATTTGAGCTGCAAGGTAGGTGGTTCAAGTTCACCAATGGCTCCTTGGAAACCCTACACAGGGTCGCTATGGGTTGGAATCGACTCGATGGCACTTAACAACAACAACAACAATGCTAACAGAGTTCTTTCCCTTTCCTTTGTGGTTAATAAGTAATCTGTGAGCTAATCCTCCCAGATGAGACTGTGATTATTCTAGTTAAGAACCTTCCCCTTCTTGTAGTTGGAACTTCTGCCACCTCCTCTTTTGGTTTGCTTGCTTGTTGAGCATCATTATGGATTCATAGCATCTTTACAAAAAATGGATTGTATTATTGTCCATTACCAAAATTAGTCTTTTGGGCAATCAAATTGTCCTAAATTTGGCTAACAGAAGACCCTTCAAGTCACCTCCTATGTCCTTTTAATATGTACCATGAGCACTTTTGTATTTTCTGGCATAAAAAAAATGTTTCCAGTTTTCCTTGTATTTTTTCTACCTCAAAACTAGAATTAGCCTTTTTTTTCCAAAAATCTCTGACTCCCACTAATAAATGAGAAGAGTTTAGAAAACAAGATCTAGGTTCTAGTGGTGCTCACTGCTGACTGTAATATCACTTTTTCAAGACCCTGTAGTGGAAAACACTTATTTTATACCTTGAACAATACAAAAATATATGCAAGGTTATTTAATGCAGCACTATTAGTAATTGTAAAATGCTATATTAATAATTGCAAAATGCTAGAAACAGCTTAAATATTCATATACAGAGAGTGTTTGAATACACTGTCATATAGTTACACAGAGTACTATTTAGCTACATATCTGTATGAACGCACAAGGGGCTTCAAAATTTTGTGGAAAAATGGAATTGAAAGATATATGTAGTGATTTCCAGAATATACTGTTCAGCAAAAAAAAAAAACAGACACACAAATCAAGTATTGTGAGGTTTCATTCACTCAATGTGCAATAAAAACTTAAAAAAAAAAAAAAAAAAGGAAAAGAAAGAAAAAGGCAGACCTTCAAGGAGATGGATGAATATATTGACTGCAACAATGGGTTCA